CTTTTCCTTTATAAAAAAACATTCATCAATTTCCATTGCTACGTGTGAGCCACTTGCAGGGGCCCGATGCTCCAATATGCATGTGGTGGCTATATCTTTACGAAAATCACCATTCAGCGGCAGTATGTGTAGCGAATTCTACCGCATGAAGAGTTGCCTTTGAAGGAAGTTTCTTTGACCGGAAAAAAAAATACCGGAATTTCTTTTAAAGAAAAGCATGGCATTTTCAAAACCGAATTTTTGGGCACTGCTGTTGAGGAGCAATATAGCGGCCTTCCATTATGATCACGGCGCCTGTAATTTGACTAGAATCCGTCACTATTCTGGCACTGATTTGGGAACACCGTACTCTCACATTTCTCACCATACTGTTCATTAGTTAAAAGTGCGTATTTAGCCCAAAACTTAAAAGCTGATGTGTCGTTATGAAAAAGGATGACGAACAACTTAATTTTAAATTTCTCAGTCTTTTAGGATAATTTGCCGTCTGAATTACTTTCTTTGGATCCGCCAAATGGTACTTAATAAAAGTTACTTCAAAAGGCAACCTGTAGCTGTGAAAACAGAAATTTTAGATTCATTTTCCACTAAAAGCAAAGAACTAAAAATGCTCTTTCAGTGGCAGAAGCACCTCACGGGTTGCGAGGACTAGTCTGCAGTGGAACTGAACTAAAATTCGTACAGTTACAGATTGCTGGTACTGGCGATCGCACCACCCACTGACATGAAAAAGTTGTGAAGCATTGAAAGGATTGAAGCGACATTCTAACACTGGGCCATTAGAAAGTTAGTAAAAACTAAAGAGGCAAGTCTGAAACTATTATAGGTGATTTAAACGGTGTCGAAACCCGGAATGGAAAAAATGAAAAGGTTGACAGTGAAGAAAGCCTTTTTGAGGGTGAGGACGCTTAACTGCAATAAAGGCAAACAACGTTAAAATTCCTCAGAAATTGCTACAGCACCTTTTTTGTGCTCGGGAGAAGTGACAGGAGCAGTTGCGCAGAGGCCTAGAAGCCCTCTAGTAGGATTAGCATGTTCTTGAATGTTTTCAAAACGCCTTATAAAATGTATATATTCTTATGTATGCATTTTTATGGCACCTAAAAAAATGCCCAAAGTTTGCCTCTTTTTAGTGTAATTTTCTTATTTCTTTATAGCCTTATCTCTTTTACATATTTTAATTTGTAGAGTATATGTGAATCTACTCTTTATTTGTCTGATGCTGTTTTTAGAGCACGTTAGTGCTCAGTCAGCGGCGCCTTTCATTTAGGTCTCCAGTTCAGTGATAAGTGTTATTCCTCCTGGCAGTTCGTTTTGGTAATTAAGCGCTGCATGTGTAATTGCGAATTGGAAGTAAGTGTTTCAGACTTTAATCGCACGATTTTTTCTTTAACTGTACCGGTGGCTTCAGTTGGTCTTTTTCACCTGCTGATTTCCTCGTTGATTACTCCGAGGAGTTTTTTGGTAGAAAATAGTTAGTTTATAGGCTGATAGTACTTTATTTTTGTTAATAATTTTTTCATTTTTTAGTCTGAAGTTTATTTTAACCCGGGCTTTTAGGATCGTCAGAGTCGGATTTTTTGAGTCCGCGGCGCAAACAGAAGTGTTTAAAGCAAAGGCTAGTTTGTATATCATCTTTTACATACGGGTGCTGAAAAGTTCTGTGTTCTAGTTCAAATTTGAAAGATGGTTTAACGGTTTATTTTAATTAAGTCCAAGTAGGAGGTTGTGGAAGTGTAACCTAAAAAATTTTTATCGTTCTTGTTTTATATGTGACCCATGTTCCAAATGTTTGCCAATACGTTCTTGTTTTTCCACGGCTTTTAGGCGTTTCGTAAAGCGATTAACATGTCGTTTCTAGCCATAGATGTTGATAGCGAAGGGCTTGGTGGAGTACTGGTCGTGTTCAGTTCTTTGAACGAGATATTACACCATTGGTTGAAAGAAATCGACTTAAAAATTTTTGAGAGAGTCTATGCAAAGAAGTTCAAAATTGCGGGGAAAACATGGTAAAAAATTGATAATTATCATTTCTTTGATTCATTAAAGTTTGATCGTTTTAAAAAACAGTAGTTCAGAATTACATAAAATGAGAATTTTTCTCAACAGTATTTTACTGGTCCCAAATTAAAAAAAAAACTTTACTGGTAAAGTAGCAAAGTTTTGAAAAAATAATAAGTAGTGTTCTGAAATATTTGGTACGCGTAAGACCTCAGTTCGCCGTCTTCAAGCATTTTCTCTATTTTTTACAATCTGTTTTCGTACAGTCAGCCTTGATTGGCAGAAAGTGAACTGTTGAATGTTTTAAAAACAGGCTTTGATTCTCTTGCTTGGAGACCACATCGAGAGCGCAATAATAAGCTGGAAGAATATCGTGAAAATAATGTTTCGGGTGTGAGTCGACTATGAGACTAATTTGTGTATCTCATAATTTAGGTGGTTCATCGGACTTGAACTGACCAATTTGGAAAAGAAAGGCTGTAATGATGCGCACTCGCTTTTCGAGAGATTTGTTTCGAGGAGCACTTTGATGCAGTGGTTGGTAGAGAAACATCGGTGTACTTCGGGGTCTTATCGTTTAAGGTTGTTATCTTTTGGATATCGACAATTTGTTTAAATAAGGAAGCTTGCTGTTAGAGTTCTTAGGATTCCGTTTAATTTGACTTTTCATTGTGCTTCGGATCTTAGAAAGTTTTGTGAGGAAGTCAAGTTGTTATCACTTTAGATGGCATTGAAATTTCCTGATTGTTTTGAATGGTGACGGAGAGATAATAGGTATAAAAATGGTAGAAGAAAAGGACTTTTTAGAGAAAAGATTGGTGCAAAAAATATTTTTAAGTTAAAGAGTAGCTTAATTTAGGATAAATTTTATGACACCTAAGTACAATTTGATTTATAGGGTGCCAAAAAGAGATAGAGCAGCTATAGTTAATAAGACGTTTTATAATGATATATTTGTAGTGGCTCTGCCTCTAGGCGTGGAGAAGTGACGAATTTTGAAGAATTGAAAAGTATACGAGAAGCATGTCGAGTTGAGACCAAGTGGATTGAAGATTATGCCAATTGTGAGAAAGAATTTAACTTTATAGTGAAGGTTGGTCTGCTAGCTGTTATTTGTATATCGTCTCTAGGAAGTACTTCTATACAGCTTGGCGGATTATAACTTTTTTCGAGAAGCATCTGGCTTAAGACACTTGAAGACTTAAATCTTGCTGCAACGGTTGCCGGTTAGGGGAGGAGAAGATCTGGACATGGAGTTGAAAAGGAACAGATATCTCGTGAAAATTCTGTTCATTTTTTGTTTGTTCAGGGGTATAATAGTTGTCGGCGTTTAATGCAGATGGTCGTTTTTTTTCCCTGAATATTTTAGGCCACAGCTTTATTCCAAACATTTACAGTTAACTAATTCACATCAGAAATGTTCTTTTAGAGACTTTTAAACTGCTCACGTTGTGTTTGAGGTCGTCGATTTTGTAACTGCCAAAGATATGATCTGTTTCTTCTCATCATTTTTACGGGTGTTATTTTTGGTTTTGTTAGGCGAAAGCGATACTTTAGTACACTTCACGGAGATATGAAGGCTTTGCTTTCAGAAAAATACCTTAGTCAAGCATAATAAGAGAAATTATTTTGATTTCGTTACGTCAGATTGTTATTCACTTGGGGATAGCTTTTTAATTCTCACTTTATTTAACTGGAAAGTCATGTTTCTTTATAAAGATATAGATTTTTTCCACACTTAGCACATTTTTTTTCTGCAGTTTACAACATAGCATTGTCAGCAATGTAAAAGTATTCAGCGATTTAGACACTCGCGGGAAAAGAGTCGGTGTGCATTTTTAGGTAGTTGTGAAAGAATATGCAATTAACAAGTACAGATTTTTAATTGTTGGGGAAAGTAAGACGTATTTTCTTAAGTGCTAGTTATTATTTCAAAAGACTGGCTGCGGTATAACCAATACTGTATTTTTTTTTTTTTGCTTTCTTGTAGAATTCTTTTTACGGTGCTTTTATAATTACTGTTGGGAGAAGACAAGTAATACGGGGTATATAACGGAGTTAAGCTTAATTGGAAACTGCTGCTTATTGTTTTTTTTATATTAGAAGTTTATCAGGAGATGTCTCTAGCAATTTTTAGGTTGATAAAAGTTTAGTAACTATGGATACTTTACGCATTTTGGCGTCAAAATACCACTTCACTGGTGGAAAATGGATTTTATTCCCCATAGAACGTGAAATGGTGCAGCCTGGGGATTATGAGATTACTGCATTGCAAGTTGTCAATAAAATATTAAAAGGTTTGTAAAATTTTTACTTGAATATTAGGTTTTGTGTAAGATATATTACTTTCGTTATTCAAGAGACTTTTACTGTGCAGCATTTTCGCGTTATTTTTTCTAGACTTTCTGACGGGAGGAATGTCGCAATTAGATTTCGTGAATCATTTAACGGTGTGTTTTTATGGAAGGAACTGTGTAGTGTCAGTTGGTAATAGCATTTGTAAAGCTGGCTGGAATGGCGCAGAGGAAAATTGTCTTAATGTTTGCATTCAAGCCTGTTTTTTTTATTCCTCAAGTCCAGTACTGTTCGTTAAGTATGATATAGTTGGGATGTCAAAGATTATTTTCAGGAAGACGGTCAGGTGCAACATGTACTCTCAATTCTAAAAAAACTAGAGTTGGAGGATTTAGTAAATAGATTGGTATATAAAAAGATGGTATTAAGGTGAGTTGTTATTGATGTAGTTTCTGAATGAAATTTTCTTGACTGGTAGTGTAGCTAAGTAATACCGCTTTTTCTCGTCAAAGTCGAGAAGAATCTCACCAGCAGGTTTCAATTTGGCTTGACTCATTCCATCGCAACTTGGTTTAAATAATTAGCGGTCCCAAGAAACTGCAGCTTGGTTGCTTTATTTTGATGTCTCCTGTTTGTTTATTTTTCGCGAAGATTTTTACATTATTTTGTAATTTCTTCCTAGAAGTCTGAAATATTGCTATATGACTGTTACGGAAGAACATTTGGTAAACAAAATTCTGTAAGCAGACTGAAGAAGAGGTGGCTTCTTACTAAAGAGGTCTTTACGCTACTGTTTGAGGTTGTTTATTCTGAAGTTAGTGGGAAGTTTTTTTAGGGCTGAAGTTAGTGGTGGTTGTAGGTTGATATAGTTTTTGGGACAAATTAAGTTTTTTTTTTGAAATGCCAATGGATTGTATGATGTACTGGGGAGCTTAAAAAACATTGCTGAGTATAGTTCAGCGACATTTTTATGCGGCTCTGATTTGTTGAGTTCTTCGGAAATTAGCGTTTAGAGAAGAAGTTTTTTAATGCGGAAGTCGCTAAGGTGAGCTGAACTGCTCTGAAACTCTGCAAGTTTAATATTTTTACGACAGAGTGTCATCGTTTTGTAATCTAGTTACAGTTGCATAATTATCTATTGACTAAACTTTAAACAACTTTATTTTCTCTTCTCCTGCATGGAGTTTTAGATTTTTCAATCCTTAAGTCGTCAGATCGTACTTGATTAACGCATTTAGCTGTTGCAAAATAAGGCCGCGCAGTTTTAAGAACATTAGGCCGTCAACCTATATCGCTTCTTGGCCCGTTCCTGCCCGTTAGTTCCTTGTTCAATTTCCTGAGTATTTTCATTATGCTCTAGCTTGTAATTTGATGGTTTTCTTTACTGATGCTTTAGATAGAAGTTCGCTTGCTGGTGACGTGACTTCTGACAGGTACTGTGGATGTGGGCACGCACATTTGAGGATAAAAAAGAGGCAGTGATTTCAAGTCGCCGTAATTTAACAATTAAAGGAATGAATCTGACGTTATAGGTGGGATTCGTACTTTGAGTTCCGTCTTCAAAATCTTACCCTAATGGCAAAATTAGAGTTGTTTTTTTCCCTATTAAACCTTTTTTCTCATAATTTTGTCTAGGAGGAGCTATTTCTTTTGAGGTTTTTGACGTGATAAATTAATAATTAAGAGGTGAACACCGCTCTTCTGAGCAAACACTGGACTGTATATAAATAAGATTGTTTTAAAATACTTCTGTATTTCTAGAATCACCCTCTAATATTTTGGATCAAAAACGTCTATATGTTTTACATACATCTTTGCTTTGGTTCAGAATACTGATCCAGTTCTTCCTGGTGTGCTGGGATTATGTACTCTGTATTTTCCTCATTTCTTTATATGTGTAAATATTTTTGGTTTTCTAGAGAGACATGAAATGTAATACAAGTATAACAAGGTTTTAGTAGAATTTTGCGACATTTTTACGTGCTTAATTGGCACCCATACAAAAAATAGAAAAATAAAAGGTTGCACACTATTGGTTAAGAGACTCTTTGAACGTGGATAATCAGTATACAAAAAACTATTGCATATGGCATATTTTTTCCAGGCTGATTGGGAACGGTTAAGGCCTATTTACTACAGGTTCACAAAAAACAGTTTATAAGTTGCAGTAATTGAAGAATAAGGGGGAACTGGGGTTTATGTGCGTAAACTGATGTAAATTATATAGCAATTGGAAAACTGGATTACGGCATCACCATTATGGACATCTTTACCAATTTGTACCTTATCTCATTGCGAAGTCTAAAGGTCATTGAGTCGTTTTAATCAGTTACTTGGCTGTGCTAGATCAAGCCCTGTTTACAGTCGTCAAGACCTAATTTGATGTAAACAGCGTCTGTATTTTTACTGTCCATTATGTCGAACTTTAATGCGAAGATGCGTGATTCCTTTTCTTTAGACGAGGCGAGTTTCTTGGAGAATTGTAGATATGTAAAAGTTCATTTTGTAGCAAAGTGCTCAATAACTGTCTACTAAATCGTTTTTTTCACTGTGATGTGCCTGTAAAATATTCACTCTAGAAGTTTTGATAGGCAAGTACGCTTATTAGTGGGAAGGGGACGTTCACCACTTTAATAACATTTCATACTTAGTCCACTGTCTGGCAAATAAGCTGAGAGTGGGGATTAAAGCAATTACTCTCTATGTCATTTAATTCACCATTCTCTTTAGAACAAAAAAAATTTGTTGTTGTTCTTTTACCAAGTAGCTAGCTATGCCTGTTGTTTCTCGGTTCTATTACTATGTTTATTTTCAACTTTATTGGACCGGCAACCTCGTTGCATCTTTTGAAAAAAGCTTGAATTTCAAATCGTTCAACCTTTTGCCAGACTTTTCGAACATCTGCAAGGCCGTTTCCATCTAATATTATTTCAGATAAAAATCACCTGTTTGAACGATAATTTTTCATGTAAATGGAATTATTTTGGCCCGTGGTTTCGTGATATTTGTGCCATAAATTTCTAAAAATGGTGGGGCTTCTTAGCTGTCACCTAATCTTTTGAAAATGGTACATTTTGATACTCTGTTCAAGAAGTTAATAATTGATTTCCGAAACGGTTTTTCAAAGTTCTCTTTGACTTATCAGCGCAATAGTGGTCCCTTAAATTTCGTAGGTGGCGGTCCAGTAAGCAGCTGCACGATGAGCAACTGTATGTCACTAATTTGCAAAGGTACCTCAAACGTCTTCTCTTGATGTCTGCGATAGAGTATGAATACTAACAGCGTACAAATTACTGGAATAATCGTAAAAATGCCGATGTTGCAATATAAGTTTGGATTTAGGAATTTACTAAAGCGCTGATTAATGGAAGTAAAACTACTTGTTTTGCGTGTCAGAGGCATAATAAAGAGAAAGCAGTTGCAGTTTTCTGGTTTGTTTGGTACTGTGTGATCTTTTAGACTGGGACAATCTGGCCTGACAGCTACTCATTTTGTATTGGGACAGCAATGATTATTTACTTTTATTATCCAAAGCGTATTTCAGTTTTGTCCATGAACTATTTTTAGTTTTCTAAAAAATTGTCGATTTAGAAAGGATTAGTTGGTTGATGTACTCTGGCAATAACTTTTTTGAACTGATTTCTTTCTGAAAAGTCAAACGAAGTTTGTTAATTTTATAAAAATTTAGTTAAAACTGTATCTTCTTTCTTCTTAGTCTTTCAAATTCAGCTTTTCGGGGGTTCCAACAGAGATAAGTTGCCTGTATCTTAAAGATTCGCTGTCTGGTCTTCAGAAAAATCTTCAGTCACTTAAATACCATCATGCCTTCCACCGCTTGTTATCTATGCCCCTTTATTCGTTCTGTATTTTACACGTTCCTTTCCAGTCTTCAAGTACTTTCTCCTCAGGTTTTCAAGATTTGAATGTTTTGAAAAAAAGCGTTGAACTTGCATTTTTTACTTAAAAGAAATTCGTTTTTTAGGCTAGTTTACAAGGCCGACTGACGGGTATAAGATCATGTAAATTGAAATAGAAAAAAGGTTTTAAACTTTTTCAGTTCAGTTGCCAAAATGTTTTAACGACAGCTAAAAATATTTAATGCGTCACTTTTTTTCCTGAGAGAAGTTGAGACTTACGACCTAATTTTTAGTTATTCGTCTTTTTTACTTTACCGAGATGTGACGGTCAAACTTTCGCATCTTGAATTGGTATAATTTTGTCTTTCAACTGTTGGAAAACTTAAAAATTGCTGAGCTGTTAATTTAATTCAGTACTTATCAGTAGAAATAAGAAGTTCAAATTCTAATTGAAGAAAGAAGAAAGCTATTTTTAGTTGAAACTTTCTTATTCTTGAGCAGTGAAACACACCTGCATGAAATGGCGAATGAATTTAGCAGCATTTAAGGATATGTTTGGGAGGTCATGCAAATAAATGGTTGCATTCTTCTGCCTTACGTAATTTAGCAACCCATTTTGTCTCTGCAGCACCGGTTCAGTATCATCGAGCCTGCGAAGAGAAACGTCTATTAGGTAGATAAAATCCAGATATTCTTTCGCTGTTAAATTCTCTATTCAGAACTGAAATCAAGTGTTGCTTAATTTAATTGGAACTGTTTATGGCTCTTACTTTACCTGATGCATTTTCTATTTACAGTACTTTGGTTGCTTGCGTGAAGTCGAAAAAACCTTTTTGCGAGTTAAATGACTCTGACAATAATCTTAACAGCCACTAAGAACCTTAATTATTACTCGTTGCAAACACTGTTAAAGTTATAAATAATTTAAATGGCGAAAGAAAGGGTCAAAACCTTTTCTAATTTATTTAACTAATTTTATTCTGTTATTACTTTTTTCAATTAAGTTCATCTTTAGTGAAGCTTGCAGTATTTGTCCCAATTGAAAGCGAAAAAAGCTGAGCCACCCAAAAACTTACGAGGAAATGTAAGCGATTTGAAAGAAAAACCAGCGATTTTCTCTATTATACTGAAAGTTTGAAAAATTCTAAGAATTACAGTGAAAGCAATATTTTGCTATAGAAATCGAAGTTATAAAGCAAGGCTCTTCTTCTGAACAATTTGTAATTGCACACTTTTCAAAGTTCTCAGCTCTTCGAAGTCATTTTATGGACACTAGTTTGGAAGAAAATTTTTAGAATTTCTGTCACTACAAATTCGACCATTTCTCTGTCAAAACTTTCACCGCTGGTGATGGTAACTGTTTCATTAATGGCTGCATAACGCACTTTTTAAATTAAATCTTTGATATACCTAGATCTGAAAGTGGTAAATATATCCAACTAATTTGGAGTGGTATATGAAACTTGAACATTTTGCCCGAGTTGAAGTGTAAGAAAGGCTGAGAAGTGGACCATTACTGAAAGCAGAAGTTTCAACTACATATTTTTAATAAACTAAAAGCGAAATTCACAAATTTAATAATATATAAATAAATGCGTTTTATTTATTCGTTTTTGGAGTACCAATAGCTTAATTTTCTTTCTTGATTACTTTGACTTCTGTTGATGAATAGCTAAACCTATTCACCCAACTATTATTCGTTTTTGCTGAAGCTGGCAAACTCATTCGGATACAGTTTCGTTAATGTAGCTAATTTCATCGACGTCTTTTTTGCTGGAATTGCTTTGGAACAATTCTCTGCCACCTAATGCGGTATAACAAATAGTTTTTTCTTCATGACAACTTTCACCCTATAGTGGCTTCATTAATTTAGTGTCTATAATGGTTTCCCAATTCTTCTTTTCTGCCTTTTCTCAACTACCTGATGAGACATGGAATAAAGTCTTGATAACAAATTTCAATCACAACTGGTGTTCTATTTAAAAGAATAATCTTAATGAAAATAACTATTATTTGAAGGAAAAATAGAAGGTCAACAAAAATGTTTGGAGACCATAGTTACCAAATAGCGCTTCTAAAAGTCTCATTTGCTGGATTTGGTTCTAAGGCTCATGGAAGCTAACAGAAACAAAAAGAAATTTTATATTACTTTGAGCAGTATGCAATAAGAACTGGAGAATAATTCATCGCATAGAATTCTGGTAGACCAACAGGTTCGTGAAAAACTTTTAGCCGTGTAGATGTCGCTTTTTTCAAAATGCGAAATAATGGTTCTTAAGCAGTTTGAATTTATAAAGAGTGAAAGCAGACTTTCGATAATCATCTAGACACAAATATTTTAGCCTTTTTTGTTAATTTAAGGAGTAGACCAAGATCAAAATGCCAAACGCTGTTCAAGGATGCTCCTCCACATATCTCAACATGAGTAATTTTGTTTAAAAATTTTTTTATCTTGGAAAAAAGTGGAAAGGTAACCGTAAGTAAAAGCAAAGTAAAGTATAAAGTCAAAATTATGAGGAAGAAGAAAGAAAAAGTGAAGAAATAATAATAAAAGATCTGGACAGATTATGCAAGTGGGTAGAAGATAGAGGCCTTCATCCAGGAACAATAACTTGTGGTTTGTATTCGGAGTTCTGTAGAAATTTAGCCGTCAGAAAGGAAAAACTTATCAAATAACTCTGACCATCTGCCGACGGTTTGTGCTTGGGTTTTTTATATTAGCGTCTCTTGATGTTGTAATTGTACTAACGAATAAACACGGGTCATTTCTGATACAAAAATCAGTTTATAATGAGCACACTTACGCATTTTCTTTTTGTTTCTATTGATCCGCTCACAGCTGAAGAAAAGAAGTCGGTATCAAAACAAACGCGACATTACCAAATTATTTTTGACTTTATTAATTATATTCTTATCCTTGGAAGTCTTAATTAAATTTTCACATTAATTTTTAAGTACCAGGTTCCATGATCTTTGCTTCCGGTACTCAACAGTCGAGACTCTCTATCTGGTCATTTGTTAGCAGACTAAAATTTATTTACGAATCAATAAATATGCATTTGTCAATGGTTTGTATCACCTATTAGAGAACACTTTAAACTGTTTAACAGTACACGGTAGAGTATTGTGCTTCAATTTCTGCACCAAAATTGAAACTAATAAAAATTTTTGATAACCTGTGACTATTTTTGAAAGAATCGTTACTTTATGTGATACTAATTGGTTAGGTAAAAAATTTCGGAAAGAAATTGTTAACAGAAATAATGTTTCAGTTATGTACAAACAATTATATTCTAATTCTTAAATATAATTTTACGATAAAAACAAGCTTGATGTCACTATTTTTCGATGCAGATACCATGACAAGTTTCTCTGCAATATATGTGCACCGTCAGTAGAAGTTTAGAAATAGCCGTATAAATGTAAACCACCAAAATTAAGAAGAGACACCACAAATAACGAAAACTGTCAAAATGTCTGACCTACAGGGTTGTTTCACTTTAAAAGAATCAGTGTACAAAATACAAAATTTTAAAAACTAAAATAAGCAGTT